CTGCGTGGCCATCACCTCGAATCCCAGGGAGACAGAGAAGGACACGCCGGGGCACACGGAAGGAGGCCCAGGGAGACGGGGGCGGAGACGGCAGTGACCTGGCCACAAGCCCAGCTCCGGAGGAGGCAGGAAGGACCGCGCGGGACCGGCAGAGGGAGGCGGCCTGCGGAGGGCGCCTGCCCCTGCTCCGGGACTGCGAGGGGCGAGCTCGCCCACCGCGTTGAAGCCACAGTGTGTGTAGTGACTCGTCACAGTGGCCCCAGGACACTGGCCTTGGGGGTGACTTTTTAAAAACACTCCGGGCTGACCCTGGTGCTGAATGAGGGAGGGTGCCCGATGCAAGACGCCGGGGACGCCCGTCCGTCCTCCCCAGGTGTAGGTGTGTCCCGCAGGCAGCAGGTGTCTGTCTGCTCCACGCCTGCAACTGGGCGCTCTGCTCCTTCACGTGGGGCGTCCCCTCAGGCCCCGAGACGCCCTTCCAGGAACTCTCTGCGGCTAGCTGCACCCGGTGTCTCGGATGCAGCTCCCCACTTCACAGTGCCTGGCCCCACTGGACAGCGAGGGCACCCCCAGCGTCCGCCTGGGGTTTTCCTGACCCCTGGGTGGGATGCCTGGGGATCCGCTCAGCACTCGCCCTTGGGAACCCAGAAACCCTCAGGGAATGACTGCAGCACTCGACAGATGGGTGGGGCCGAGGGCCGGACTGTCCCCCAGGAAGACCCGTGGAATCCAGTGCCAGGCGCCTGGCGTGGCAGCAGCCAACTCGGTAACCTCTGACCTGCTCCACCTCCCATTCCAGTCCCGTCCCCTCCTGCTCTGAGGTCACACTCCAGAGGATGCAGGTGCAGATGGCTGTGCTCTCAAAGCCAGGCCGACTCCTGAGCGAGGACCCACCCGGGACCCTCACCGAGTCACAAAAGCAATTACGCAACCCGCTCTCTGCCAGAGAGCTACACCTGGGCTTTGTCTCATCAGCCGTGGGAAAACGTAGAGGCTTGAGCTGGGACGGAGGTCCTGTGTGTGACAAAGCGTGATAAGCTAGACACAGACGAGAGTGACACACCTGGCCGTCCCCGATCGTTTGGCTGGCTTTACACCTAAGAGATTTCAGAAAAATGACTCGAAGGACCAGGCTCCCTACACACGTTTCTGGCAGACTGTTTTTATCCTCTCTATGCAAAACTTTCTTTTTGAAATTCATTTGTAATTGAAACTTAGTTGACCTGTGTCACTGCGTGCGTCGAAGGTGCACGTGTGGCTTTGGGAAGGCGAAGGTGCACGGGCGTGGGTTTACATGCTCGCCTTTGCGACGACGTGACTGCCGCCGCCATAAGGTTACATAAGTAGTGCTTGTTTCGTGGCGGGAACCGCTGGGGTCTAGTCCCTCACCAGCCTCGAAAGTTTACGCGACAGGACTGCTGAGTGCAGGCACTCTGCCGAGCATTCTCTGTCCAGGACGTGTGTGTCTCTCAGTGTCTGCTGTGTACCCTGAAACAACCTAAGTTTTCTATCAGAGGCAGTTACAAAAATTCCTGAACATTTTTTTTTAATAGCCCGTAGTTCTGACATTTCAGCCACTAGATGGCAGAGCGAACAAGGAATGTGGACAGCTAACGGGCTTGTGAGGGCTGGACGCGGGGTGGCCCTGGGAAGTGCAGCTGTGCACCCCACTGTGCACTGCGGGGAGGGGCCATGCTAGCCAATGTCTTCCGTCGTCGTTTGTGCCCTAACCCTCCCACTCCCCAAAATGTCAGTGTTCGCTCACGTGTTTACTGATTGTCCAGCTCCCCCGGTATCCCCCAGGTCAGAGCAGTTTACACACAGTAGGCGGACGAGGGGTATTTGCTGAGTGAATGAATGATACGAGGGGCGGGCGGGCGTGACCTCTGATCTGTGACCTCTGACTTCCCTCTCCCTGTGGCATCACGACCCGTCGTGATGGTTGGCACTTAACGGGGTGTCCGGGCCGGGAGCAAACTGCTGAGCCCCGTGCTTCGGCTTGTGTCTCTGGAATACCTGAGCCCCGGGGAGCAGTAAGCAAGGAATCGTCTGGGGCTCACTAGCCTGGATCGAGCTTCCATTTTAAGTGGCAACGTAAGTCCACTCGGAGGCCCCTCTGATGTCCCCGAAGCGTGCCCGGTCCCTTTGGCTCAGGGGAGCAACGCTCGCCGCCTGCTGGTGCACCCTGTCGCTGAAGATAAACCACCGCTTTGCAGCTTCAATGCATCAGCTGGGCTTCGACGGGCACCGTGAACGTCACGGCCTGGGAGGGACGAGCCCGAGGCCGCGCGCGGCGCGGGGCGGGGGTGGGGGTATCAGTCTCACGGCAGGCACAGACCTGCCTTTGTTTAAAATATTTTGTTCATCATGGGTTTTTCACATTCATCCTGACTTGTAAGACAATGCGTTAAAATCTCACGGTTACTGAGGTTTGGGGCACCCCTCTTGCCTGTTGCACCCACTCTCAGCCCTGGTGGGGAGGGCGGCTCCACCCCGTCAACGGCGGAGCTGGAGCTGGGTCCCCTATTTCCCAGACCTAAAGGGCTGGGCGAGCATGAAGCTACATCAGTGTTAGGGACAGTCACTTATTTCTGTATCTTCAAAAAACAAACATCTTGATGTTTAATTAACCGGCCTGTGTCAGTTCGCTATTGCTGCGGTAGCAGATTACCGCAGTCCTGGAGGCTTAGAACACCACACTTACTACAGTTCTGGAGGTCAGGGTGTGAAAAGGGTGCTCGCGGGGTGTGTCCCACTGAATGTGTGTCTGCCTCCCCCGAGTTCACACGTCAAAGCCCCAATCCCCGACGTGGTGGTATTTGGAGATGGGTCTTTGGGAGGAAGGAGGTAGCTAGGTCCAGTTGAGGTCTTGAGAGCATTTAATGCCCTTATAAGAGCTAGCTTTCCCCTGCCACCCCCCGCCTCTCCCTACCACGTGGAGACGGCGAGAAGGCAGCCACAGGTTTGGGGTACCTTACGGGGGATGAAGGGGTCACCTCGGTGCTGCTCTGAATTGTGACCCATGATGAACAGACAGCGGAGGAAGGGCTCATGGCCCGGGGCCCACTCAGAGTCCAGCAGCCAGGGCCATGTGCCACCACGTCCAGGGCAGGGCCGACCTCCACGCTCCGCCTCAGCTGCTGGCCGACTGCTCTGCATATGTGGGACCGTGTTCCCTTAAATGAGGGGTACCCCGGGGGTGACACATCCTTCCAGACTGATCACTGTGACGTCATCAGGCAACCAGGGGACGGTGCACAGGGTGGGTGAGGTGAGCTCGTGGGCCCGAGAAGTCCCGCCCAGTCCAGATGCGAGCAGGGAACCTCCACGGTGTGGCAGTGGGAGGAGCTTCTGGGATGGGGACGTCACCCCGTCTGTGCGGGCCCCGCGGGGTCATGAGAATCTCCGAATGGGGACAGGGGAAGCAGGGGTCAGCCCCTCTCTGCGGCTGCCCACATAGGCACAGGCTGTAAGCAGCACCCTCCCCCGCCCGCAGCCTGTGACCCTACACAGGACCTCTGCCCGATCGCGTGCCTGGGCCAAGGGAAAGCCCTCCAGGACGAGCCTGGGCCGTCCTGGGGATTTGGGCCCCATGGGGAAGTGAGTGAGTCTGTTGGAGGCTCCACAAGGAGGAAGATGTCGTCCACCTTCAAAATCAGTGACTATGGCCTTGGCCAAGAACAGGGAGGTCAGGGGCAGCTGCGGGAGTCATGCAGGTGCGAGGCCCACCCTCCTCCCCCCCAGGGGCCGAGGGGCTGGTCAGGCGCTGCCCGGGAACGGCCACTGCCTCTTCTCTGCGACCCTTTTCACTGCGTCCCAAAGCCACCGGAAGACCAGGCGCGTGGGGCAAAGGGCAGGCGCCCCGTCCTGCCTGCACCGCCTGGGAGGGGCTGCGGATGAGCGAAGGGCCCCGCGCGTCTCCTGTGCACTGGCGCGGGGTGCGGGGCCCCGAGGAGCCTGGCCAGCGGCAGGTGCTGGCGCCCGCACTGGCGGGCAGCCTGGCTCACCGCGGCTGTTCACTTCATTACCTTTCATTTACTTCACGTCCTGGGTCCACGAAGCTCTTTTTATACGCCATTTCTTCCAAAAAAGTGCTACGACGAATATTTTAAAGTATCAGCTCAAATGCCTGACCTGAAGGGGGACGTTAGACATTCAGCCTGTTCTGATGGCAGCTGGTCACGTGGTGGCATGGGCCATCTCAGGGGATCACGGCTCGTCACTCCTCTTTAATGGGCTTTGCTTGTCAGGTCTCGGGACTGCTTTGTGCCACTGGGACAGTCTGGCAGTGCTGAAGGCCGTCATTTTTTTACTGCCTGGAACTGAGGAGTGACCGCGTCCGTACTGCGCCGTGCGGCTGAGCGTGTCGCCACCGTGTGCGGTGCGGACGGGAGCCGGCCGGCCCCTCGGAGGTGCAGCGAGCCCACAGCCCTCAGGCTGAGCTGCTCTTTGTAACAGTCAGGCCGAAGCATGGCGACAAATAAAGAACAGTTTATTTAACAAAGTCAGAACCCTGCGTACATGTAAAATAATAACACAAAGGTTGGTGACGAGCCAGTTACGGTTCCTGTGTAATACTTTCCAGCATTTTTAATTACATTTACTCTGTTCAAAAGACTTTTCCTCTCAGCAAGAAAATGTCCTCCCCTCCCCCGCTGCGCCAGAGAGCCTGGCAACGGCAAGCTACGCGGCTGACACAGGAGACCAGCAACGTGACCTTTACGTAAAACCTTTGCAGCCCCTGACCGCCTTCATCTCTTAAAAAATCCGCCTTCGACACAAGCACATGTGTATTAATCTAAAAGGAAAAAAGGTCGGGTCGCGAGGTGTGTGGGGAAGAAATCGTAACAGCTGTGCAAAACGCTAAGATGCCGACCGCGCTGTGCGCCTCGCGAGACTGGGCTGTGTCCCCCCCCGTGGGTTCCGTCGCAGAGGGAGCCGGCTGCGGGGCGGGCGCTGACCTCCGCTGGCTCCAGGAGGGCCCAGCACACAAACCGCGTCAGGCGCTGCCTCGTCCCTCAGGGTGGCGGAGGAGCGACCAGCCCGGGGTCACGCGGGCCTGGGGGAGCCAGACGTTCACGGGGGTGAGCCCCGCTGGGCCCGGCCCCGCAGGCCCGGCACGTCAGGCCCTCCTGCTGGCGGGCGTCCCGCGGGCTCTGCAGTGCTGGCGCTCGTATTTCACAGACACGACGAGGAAGAGCAGGAGGGTGGCGCCCTGGATGGCGGCCAGCAGGAAGAAGTAGTAGTTCAGGTAGCAGCCGTTGATGTTGCCTGCAAGAGAGAAGGCGTGGGAGCCACGCACGGCGACCGGTGTCGCCAACAAGGGGACCAGCCATCCACCTGGGGGCCGAGGCCGCCGGGGTCCCGCCACGCCGGCGCCGGCCGCGGCCCCTGCAGTGACCCTGCCACCCCGCGGACGCCGCCTGTCCCATAAGGTGAGGGCGCGCTCCCAAGGCTCCCCGCTGAGGGGCGGTGACACCCACTCCCACCCACATCCCCGGGACGTGCAGGCGGCTCGGGGACCAGCTGAGGGCTGAAGGGACAAGGATCTGTGCAGTGGGCGTGCACCGGCCTCGGACGAGCTGGCCGCAGGGGGAGGCTGTTGATCTTTTAAGGTTTTTCTTGGCACGGAAAATTTGGGGAAAGTAAAACAATCTCCCTTCTGCGTTCTCGGCAGCAGACGCCAACGTCAGACAGCACGGTGTCCCCCCAGCTACTTTTAGGGCGTCGTGCGTTTACGGTTGGGCCGAGGGCAGAGCTGACGTCCCCACATCACGTCCTGACTGGACGTTCTCGGCAGCTTCACCGACGCCATGCGGGACAGGACACGGCCACACGGGAAGGCGGGAGGAGCGTCAGCGGCTGCATCGGCCGAGGTGGCCACAGACGCGGAAGCCGCGAGAGCATCTTTCGCGTGTGATTCTGACCGCGCCCAAGACGCCACCGGCTGGTATGAGCCGGGAGACCCCACTTCGATGGCTGCAGAGTGATATTATTTAGAAAGGGCAACTTACGCTTTTTCACTGCAGGAACTTAAAAGGTCCTGTGGGGGGCACTGCAGAACGAGGGGAGAGGAGGGGGCCCACTGCGACCGACGTCAGCCGCAGGCATCTGTCCTCAGACGTTCGAGAGCTATGGCACCTGCCGGCCAGGCATGGCCGTGGCAACCGTGCTGGGGCAGGTGTCAGCAGGCTGACCCTCGGGACAGCACGCCACCAAGCGCACACTGGCCGCGCCAGCCCACAGCAGCCCAGCACCGTCACCGTTGCAGGGACGGGCGCCGGCCTTACCGAAGTCCGTGTGGCTGCTCATCCACCCGATGGCCTTGATGGACACCAGCGCCAGCAGCCCCGAGCCCACGAAGGAGCCGAGGCCGGAGAAGAAGAAGAACAGGCCCATGATGGCGCTCTGCATGGACCGGGGCGCGGCCGCGTAGGCGAACTCCAGCCCTGCGGGAGGGGCGGGAGGCGCGTGAGCCGGGAGCCTGCGCCCCAGCCACCGCGCAGGCCCTCGCCACGCAGCAGGCGGGGCGGCTCCCTGCTCTCCAACTGCAAGGTGACGTGGGACGCGTCGGCTCGCAGCGACTGCTGGTCTTCACAGAGGCCTGAGGAGCACAGTCCCCTACGGTGTCAACCAGCGGGAGCACCAAACGGAGGACACGCACTGAATCAGGGGCCCGACCTAAGGTGCTACTTCGAAGGCGACGTACTTTCAAACGATGGCGCAGGCACCTGTGAGCTCAGGCTCCCTAACAGCGAGGTGGGGGTCGCAGCGGGCTGAGGGAAGGGCAGGCCCGCGTGACTGCCGCCGTCACAGCACAGGCCCTTCTGCCCGCCGGGCCTGAGTGTCACAGGGGTGGAGGCCATCGCCTGCTGTGTCCCTCGCCACCTGGCCGTTTCCGCCTGTCCCCTCCCCGCAGCCAGAACTGGGTCGTGCAGAACCCACTGGCCCCAGAGCGCTCTCGCTACCGGGAAGGGCGGCCTGTGCCAACGCGTCTGCTTCCTCGTCTGGGTCTGAGCCAGCGCCACGTGCTGCGCCTGTCGCTGACCCCAGGCTGGGCGGCCACGGCCTGGCTGCAGCCTGCATAGGAAGCGCCAGGGCTGGGAGGGACCGCCTGGTGGGCGTTCCCTTCTCCTCGCGCCCATGGCCCCTTGAAGGCGGCGGGTGAAATTGGGGCGATGATCTGGGGAAGCTGTTCGAGACCACGAGGGGCCTCAGCCAGCGTCACTGTTTACTTAGCCCTTCGGATTCTGAACCACAACTGCCACCAAGAAGCACACAAGCCCTAGCTTTTTGTCTCCCACACGCATCTCCTGATGCGTAAGGAAACATCAGGCTTTTGTCAGGGTGACGAGACCCGCCCCGGGCCCCTGTGCCCTGCCCCTCACCTGCGATGCTGGCGAATATCTCGCTGATGCCGATCAGCACGTACTGTGGGACCTGCCACCACACGGGCAGGTCAGCAGCGAAGTACACGTCTGGTTGATGGTCTTCACCTTGACGAGGTCCAGCCTTTTGCTCTCCAAGATCCCTAGGATGCACGGCAGTTAGCAGACGCTTCTGACCAGGCTCATAGCTACACTGAAACGCGTCACGACGAGGCCCGCCTGCCCGGCCCGCCAGAACACCCTCGAAGGGCTCCCCCAGCGTCCGGCCTCCTGACTGGGCGACTGGAACGCAGGGCCCGTCACACGCGTCTCGTCTGGTGTTGACAGAACAGACGCTCATGTTTAATCCTCAACTGTCTCGACCGCTCGCCCACACGCCTTGTTTTGTTTAAAGGGGGTGTAAGGGAAGACAAAGGATCTCACAATGGAAGGACTCGTCCTGGGTAACGGGTTAAGTGCACCCACTGACGCGTTACCACCGCCACAGTAACCACAGCAAATAGCAAAGCTAGTTTTCGTCCACAGGTGGCCTCGGCCTTATGGACAGGGCCAGACCTTCTGCCCTCGGTGGCACCGTGATCACGGTCTTGCGGCTCGCCTGCCAGGCCGACAGGAAGCCGTAGGAAAATGAGCTGGTGTAGAATCGGGCACCCTTTACCAAACCAAACATGAACCGTCACGATCAAGTTTAAAAATGACAGTCTGTCAGACGAGCTTATTGGGTTACGGGGGCCAACGAGTTTTGTCTGTAAAGAGTTCTGATAACACAGTTCAAGCGCAACAACAGACCCCAGTGTTTAACGTACGCACGAAGGCGCGGGGACCCAGCACCGTGCAAGCAAGCCCGGTGTCGGGGAGAGGGCAAGGGCGCTGGAAGCACCCCGTGAAGCCCCGGGCGTGAGGCGGGCCGGGGCGTGGCCGACAGGGTATGAGAGGGACCACGACCAGTGGGGCGTCCGAGCACAGGGCACCACCGGGGCCCCAGGCCCGGAGGGCTCAGCTCACGTCCTCACGAGCAGCCCCTCCTCCTGGACACACCGGCTCCTGTGCTGTCCACTGTGAGCCCAGAGGGAAGAAATGCCCAGCTGTGGGGGACGAGGACATGGAGCTGGAGAAACTGATGGTGTCCGGGCCCCAGTCCAGGTCTGGGCAGTTCCACGTGGCCGCAGCCAGACGGCCGTGTCCCCAGGATGACCCATGTGGTCCCCAGAGGAGGCACGAGCCACAGGCTTTCATAAGTGAGACGCCGCTTGCTAGAAGCAGTGAGGAGCTAGGAGGGCGCCCCCTTTAGACAAAATGCGGCCGTTTGGGGCGGGGGCTGTGAACAGGAGACGCGAGGCCGGCCCGGGCCCTGGGCTCCAGGGACACGACCAGCCACTCCGCACCGCTTGCGGGGGCCCGTGTCCCCCACCCGCCAGACCGGCCAGTCCTGGACCCGCGGGCTCTGGAGCTCAGGACCGTCCCCACGGAGACGGCTAAGACTGACAGCACAAGGACGCCTCGGCCACCCACGCAGGGGCTCTGGAGCCACGGTCCCGACGGCGCGACTCGGTGTCACTGCTGAGGCGCGCGCCACACAGCGCTGCCGAGTGGAAACGTCACCTGAGTTCACTCGGGGGTCAGAGAAATGAGACCCGCTCCGCGTTCTCAGAAACAACTAGGGAAACTGTAAGCTGAAGCCCCCGAGACCTGGACAAAGCTCAGTGCCGGGCGGCCGGGCCACGCGGGGTTTCACTACTCAACAGGAAGGAACACGGAGAAGAAAACGAAGAATTTAACTTGGGAAATGAGAAAAAATCACAAAAACCCAAGGTGAACAGAAAAGGTTAATGTCTTAATTCTTCACTTAGAAAACACAGAAACAGTCAAATCGATAAATCTGAGAGCTGGAAGGGTCATAGAAAGACACAATTTTGGCAAGTCCAATGAAAAAGCGCACACACGTGAAACTGGAAATGAGGAAGGAAACCAAAGATTTATGTCAACGACTATTTTTATCTCCACCAGGATTTTAAAACTCAGTCAAATGAGTTACTGGGGCACGTTTTTTAAAAGGGCTTCAGTGATTCGAGAGAAAAGAAAATCTCCACAAAACCGAGACACTGACGACGTCAGCGAATGTCACCGGAGGGCGGACTCGGGCTCACGGGGTCTCCAGGCGAAGACGGCAACGTCCCGCGAGTCCCGCTGGAGAAGCACGGCGTACGGTGCGAGCGAGGGCGGGCGGCTTCCGAGAGCGAGCGCGCGTCCAAAAACGCAGGACCACGTAACCGGGAGACGCCGCTATTTACACTTACGGCTGTCACGGGAAAGGCACGCACGGGAGAAGCTCCATTGTTTTTAAAGGAGTCATTTAGCTGGAGCAGAAAACGCTCCAGGAACACGTGATGGCGTCGCTGGTGGTGGGCGGATGACTCCAGCCCCCCATCTCTATGTTTTCAGTGACACTCGTCTTTACGACCCGCTGTAGACCAGGGGATCTTACTGTTCTCATGAGGGCTGTGAAACCAGACGCCCCGCCTCAGCTTCCAGGACACCCAGGCCCACGCTGGCACCAGCACCGGATGGTCATTCTGTCTCCCATGTCGAAGGCCACGAAAGGACGTGGTGATGGCGTGTCCAGGGCTGAGAAGTCAGTGGCGAAAAGAGCGTGGACGCGCCACAGTGAGGGCAGCAGAGGGGTGCGACACGGAGGGACACGTGTGACGTAAGGCGGGTGACGGGGACCCCGTCTGCATCACACGGCGTCGGTTTCTCCACTGCCCGGGACGCAGGCTGAGTGTCGGCGTCTGCCTGACGGCCCGCGTGTCCTCCAGGGCGTCCTCCTCCTCCGCAGCGCGGTGGCTTTGGCCGTGCCTCGCGGTCTCCTCACACTTACAGAGTCCTCTTTCCCGGGCTCCCATCGGCTCACCTTCTAGGACTGCGCTTGTGCAAAAAGACAGAAGGTCTGTGCATGCGCAGACACACAGACGAGATCGGACAGACGCACGTCACCCCACGGTGAGCGCCCCTGGGAGTCACAGGCTTCACCTGCTCCCTGTCGCTGAGGTTTTCAGGGAGCATCTGCTACGTCAGGAACTAACGAACACGTGCGATTTTTTGAAGGGAAAAACGAAATCTAACAAGTTAACAAAATTTCTTCTTTTTTTCTTAAGCAGGCTTAAGAAACCCTTTGGACCTGGTCGAGTCTCATCTGAGAAACTTTAAAGGCAGAATTATCACCAGCAGGTGTGATACCACGTGAGCATGTTGATTTATCAGGGGTGAAAGTAGCACGTTAAAAGGTAAAGTTATTATGAGTGAAGATAATGAGTTATGAGGCAAAGCAGTTCCTTTTCTATTGAAATTCTGGTTTGCGTGATGGGTCCGGGTCTTTATTCAAAGGTCGCTCACGGTCCAGTTAAGCAGTACGAGAGCCGGACGCGAGTGCCTGGAACAGGGGTCACTTCATAAACTGCCGAGTCGAGTCGTGAGACACTTCAACTCCTCGAATCAGGGACAGTAAATGCCTTCCTAACACTCGGCCACTGAGCAAAGGCAGCTTCTAAAAACAAGCACGGCCGGTGTTTTCCATTGCTAAGTCATCGACTGAGGTGCTGGTGTTTCGGAGCCATGCGGTGACCAGCTCCGATCACCATGGCCCGCGTGGGCCGGCAGCACCGGGCGGGGCCCGAGCGGAGTCACCGCCAGGCGTCTCCCTGCATTTCTCACGGCGGGACCGCGGGGCCTTCGCCGGGCACAGGTGTGCGGCTGTCCCCCACGCGCACGCAGCGCAGACACCACCGGACGCCCTCATGCTTCGCAGGGTGCCCAGAGATGACCCGGCCCCCAGGAAGCTGAGACGAAGGCAGGGTCCAAGGAGCCAGAGCCCGGACCCCCGGGGAACCCCAGCAGGGCGCCTGTCCCTCCGGGAGGTGTCGGCATGTGGCCGGCACCGTCGTGGTGCGGAGGGCTCCCCAGTCCGGGAAGCGGGGCTGCCAGGGCGCAGGAGAGCCCCGGGGGCGCTCAGGGAGAAGACGGACAGACGGACACCATCGCGACGCCGCCACCCCCGACACGCCTGTAGCCAGGGCCGCTGTGTCCCCGGCCGGGAGCCACGGGGCTGGAGGGAAGCGGGGTGACAGAGCACATGGCCGAACCCCACCCCAGCACGACCTCACGTCGTCGTCCATCAAGAGAAAACCCGACTGTCCTCCACAGCTTTCTGGTCTCGGATACAGGTGTCTTAAGCCTGGGACGCGTTTCTCCCACCCTATGAAGTACCCTAACGGTGCCTGCGTGGCGGGCGGGGTGCAGGCTGGCTGGGGGCTGGGGGGCGTCGCGCGCCCTCCCCACAGGGCTGGACACCGGCTCCTGAGCCAGGTCCAGTAAGGAACTTCAGCTTCTTCTTTCTTGTTGTAAAATGAAGCTACTCTACGGTTCGCTGACTCTTGAGTGTTCGGGAGGAAGTCCCAGTGCTGAGGCCAGCCGCCCCTCGTCCCATCCGGCGACTCCCCTCGGCGACGCCACACTGAGGTGAGAGTTCATGACCTTTCTCTTAGGAGATGGGAGCTGATGAAGCCTTCCTCCCAGAACACGCTCGCAGAATTGCACATACGTGTGCAAAGGGCTCGGGGCACACGGCGGCCGAGGGACGGACCCGCCACTCAGAACCCTAGCGGTGGAGGCGCGTCTGAGAGCTACACCTGTGATTCAGGGAAAGCCGTCTACGCGGCCATCAGCAGCTGTGACATCTCAATCAGCAGGGCGAGGACGAGCCTCCTCTGACTCGATCCAGGTCACCCTCTGGAGCATTCACCCAGTGACAGTCCCAGAAGAACGATGACCAGCCCGCACAGAGCCCTGAGCGGCACACCGTGAGAAGGGAGGGCGAGCTGCACCCAGGGGTAAAACCGTCTGCCCTGGTCCCCTTCACAGTCCGGGGACAGGGGGCGGGGAGGGGGTGGTGGCACCCTACCTGCCGCGAAGGCGGAGCACATCACGAAGAACATGCCCACGGCGATCCTCTTCAGGGAAGACGGCAGCAGCCCGTGCCGCCGCAGCACGGGGTCCACCAGCTTGTCCTTCAGGGGGATCAGCAGGAGGATGAGCACCGCGTCGAACATGGTCAGCCAGGCGGCCGGGAACTGGAAGGGCAGACGCACAGGACACCTGCTTACTTCCAACAGCACGGCCCGGGTGACGCCTACCATCGGATGGGACACCCCACTCGAAGCTCATGTCTACACAGCAGAACCGCCTGGGAGACGTGTCTGCTTCCAGGGACGGAACTGAGACCAGATTGTTATTTCTAAATGGGTTTGCATTTGTCTACCTGTGCTTTAAAGGGAAGATCAGAAAAAAATATTTACTAAAGTTCCATTGACATGAGTCAACTTAATCTAGTGAATAACCCAACTGATGGAAAATAGTCTCTAACGTAAAATCCCACCTCTGCGGAATGCTTTCAGCTCGTGCTAAGCGCTACCACTGAGGAGCTAGTCATGATGGGTACAAGGGACCCACCTGCCACGTAAGCCCCGAGGGACAATGTTCAGGTCACTGCAATTGTTCTCACCGTATGATGCCTGGTTGTAATGCTGGAAATTTCTGGAATCCTCAAATGAAGACTCTGTAAAACGTACGTGGTCTGCATCTGGGAGTAAAAGGCGGTGTTGTTAGCCGTGAACAGCCTGCCCTTCAACCCCTGCATGACCGAAGCGCACACCACCCCCACCCCCCGTGACCGATGCGCACAGGCTCGGTGCGAGAAAGGACAAGTCCATCATTTGACCGTCGTAAATGCGTCTGGAGATCGACTTTGAAAAAGAAGTAAGATTTACCCAAATGAGAAACAAACGTGGGGCCCGGGCAAACAGCGGCACACCCACTCCCGGCTTCGTTGAAAAAAATTTCAAAACACTTAAATCAGCAAAATGAACCCGTGACTAAAAACAGGACTCCAGGAGCCGAGGGATTTGTGGAAAGAAACCACGGAGCCCTCTGGACTCCAGGGACGGCCAAAGGCGGGACAGGAGGTGGGGCCCACCTGTCGCCACTCACTTGGAAATACACTGTCCAGTAAGGGATCAAAGCCAAGAACACGGGGATGGTCTTGACCAGCGCGCTCACGTCCTCCACCGTGTCCTCCGCGAACGGCCCTCCGTGAGACATCTTACATGAACCAAACAGACTGTGTTTAGAAGGGTGCTGAGAGGGTCCATTGCCTTCACTTTGGGAAACAAAATGAAGGAATTAGTTTTCTTCCACCCCCGGAAATCAATCATTTGGTCACAAATTAAGTCTGGAAGCAGGAAAGCAGCTTGCTGTCCTGAATTTGCTTAAACGTCCCTGTCGCCTGCTAACTGCACACACCAGAGCGACCGAGCCACCCCCGAACACGGCAGACGCTGGGACAGCCAACAGAAGGGCCTGCCAGGCCACCGCAGGAGCAGTGTGGCCAGCCTGCCCCGTGGTGGCCCCGTGGTGGCCTGCAGTGCCACACGAGGCCGGCGCTCACTGGGAGGAACACTACTCTCTGCGTGGCTGTTTGCTTGGGGGATTTATCAAGTGTCACCGCTGCACAGCCAGTCACATCGATGCACGGGTACGTTTAAAAGGCGGTCACTGCTGTGACTGAGGTGGCTTTGTTCTGGCAGGCGGCTGTCACCTCCTGACCTCAGAAGAGCTGAGAGGGGAGGGACAGTGCTCAGATAAGGATGATGACCTGATAGCAAGGCCACACCCTGTAGGCTAGCTGCCTGCACAGAGAGGGGAAGGCGTGTCACTGTCACGAGGTGACACAGCCAGAGCTGGGGCCGGATGCTGGCTGAGCGCCTGAGGCCTGCTGCTCCCGCCCCCGGGCACCACCCTCCCAGGTACTGGGTCCTTGGGGTCCCAGCTCCTACAGCCCAGGCTCGAAGACTCTGGGCCGGTGTCATGGCTTCTAAGTGCCCAGGCCCAGCGCGTGGCTCCCAGGTCCTCAGGGGTAAAACAGAAAAAAATGTGGCTTTATAATTTGCACACTACTCTCCAAAGCCAGAGATCCCAGTAGATCATCAATTATTAAGATCGGTTCCAACCTGGGACTCAGATACGAGAGGCAGCTGTCTGCTGTCCAGTCTGTAAACTGGTGCCCCATTTAGCTGAGTTACCACCATTTTAAATCACTTTTGTCTTGCAATGTTGATGTTTTTAGTCCGAACCTCCAGAGGAGAGAAAACCGGAAAACTGAAAACTTAACAATTCAGCCAGATTTTGGACAGAAAAACTAGATTCAATTCAACGAATATTTACTGGATTTACTGAGCACCGGGTCCCATTTTAACTGGATGCTGGGAATACTCGACAAAATAAAAAATACTATCCATATCCTAACGCAGCTTCATCAATTAGGAGAAAACAATCAGAAAAATACACTCCAAGTGAAACTCTAAATTCCAAAGGTCTTATGAATACTTTCATGTGAAAACATTCATGTTTCAATTTTTGGGGGGCCAAAAGTGAATTTAAAGTCCCGTATATCTCATACAAATACCATCAGCAGCTGTTACGTCACATTGCACGTCTGCTTTTGTGAACACTTTTAAATGTCAAATAACAAATTGTTCACTCACAAAGAACTATTCACACAGGCTCTTGGTGACGTTACTTTTGCTCTGTTTCATTAAAATATTTTAAAACTGCTAGGTCAATATGCATCTAAAACTCTGCCTGGCTCATACGTGTTGTTAGTGTATCACTCTGCAACACACAGGGGTCCAACATGGAGCCACGGTCACACATGACACGGGACACAGACAAGCAGCACGGAGACGATGGGACGCAGCTGCCCCCGGCCTGCTCCCCGGAGCGCCCCAGCGGCTGCCCGGGAAGAGGGTCGCCCGCTCTCAGTCCTGAGACTCCCGCTCACAGGTCCCTATCTGAAAAAGGTTCAGAGCCACTTCCGCTCTGGTCTGCACCGACTGGGTGGCCCATTCAAAGTCAGCACTAACTCATCTTGAAACGCGGAGAAGCCCACACCAGGGAGAAACGCCGCGGGCCGCGTGCGGGGGCCGTGCATGGGGAAGGCGGGCGCTACCGTCCGCCCCTCGGCCCGAGTCGGCCGTCTGAGGAGCAGCGTCCTCGCCACGGTCAGACACCCAGGCTGTGATCAGGGGCCAGGCGTCTGGCTGGGGGCTCCGCACACATCAGCTTCCCTGGGCCTCATGACATCTGGAGATGTGAGACCCTTTCCACTGCACAGAAAGGACGTGCAGGCTCTGCGAGGTCCCTGACCCGCCCAAGGTCACAGAGGCCTGACCTTTTGCCTGACGAGAGATCAGCTGGGGCATTCTCTGGACCACCCACTTCCTCAAGCCCCAAATGCCGCCTCGACTGACAGGATCCCCACAGGGTGGGCCAAACCGGTCCCAGGGGCTGCCTGGGGTGATAGACACAGTCCAGACCCTGAGCGCCCTGTGGTGGCATCGTGGACAGATCTGTCACACTTTCCAGAACTGTGCAGCCAGAGGGATGTGTTTTACTAGAGGTAAATTATACTTCAGTGTAAACAAGAAACGAATTCTGAGGTTTCTTCTCGGGCTGAGTTCTGAACCTGGCTCTGCGGCTCTGCCTCCAGCGTGACTGACCGTCCGTGACGCTCTGCCTGGGGCCATGGGACTTCCCCGGATGCGGGACTTTGGGCTTTGAAACCCCAGTTCACAGGACTGTCACTGCTAAAGCCGGGAAGTCCACGCAAATGGGGCGATGGCGCTGTCCTGCCCGCACCTCACAACCCTGCCTCACGTGCGTCTGCCAGAGCGGCCGACGCCACTGCTGGGCAGCGGGGCCTGTGCCATCCCGTCCCCAGGCTGCGGGGCCCAGAGCGCGAGGCGGCAGCTCGCTGTCCACGGAGCAGAGGCGCCACGGCGCGCAGCTGCCGGGTCCTGGCTCGAATGATGTCAGCGCTTTCTGAGACAGGAAGAGGATCGGGGCGCGTACGCAGCCTGCCCCCTGCCCCCTGCCCTCCCGTCTCCACCAACTACGCTGGCAGAGCGGCCACCTGCGCCGGAGCGCACAGGACAGCCCCGTGGAGCCGCACACCGAGTGTGAGCGAGTCGGGCGCCACCCGCCTGCCCGTGCTGACCTGAGCCGCCCCGACCTCTCAGCCCGGCGCCCTGCACGCAGCGAGCACACGAGACGGAAGCAGCTGGTTTAGCGACAGGGACGGAGCTGGCCCGCCGCACCGAGCGGGACGGACGGGGTTCCACACTCACCCGCTGCGACCGTGGTCCCCGCTTCGCTTCTGGGGGCGGCACGAATATGCCAGTATCTTGAACACATCGGTGAAGGCGCTGCCGTCGGGGGGCTTGGTGACGAAGACGCTCTGGCCGCAGAGGAAGATGAGGAAGGCGAGGCCGATGCAGACCGTGGGGATGGCGTAGCCGGGCACGAAGCTCACGTTCTGCTGGACGTAGGCGATGCCGCCCAGCGAGACGATCGCCCCCAGGTTGATGCTCCAGTAGAACCAGTTAAAGAACCTCCTCGTGGCCTCTGCGCCCCGGTCCCTCACCTGGAATGGTGGGCAAAGGCCTGATGACCCTCGAGGGCGGGAACGAGGCGTTTTCACACGTGAAACGACTTGGGCACGTGTGTCACCACGGCTGTCCTCGCCGCTTTCAGGCAACGTGGCACAATGCGAACGTTCAGACCCCTCCAGCGGGACCCTGACCAGGAAGCACCCTATGCTCCCAATTCCTACCCAGCTGGGTGCTGTTTCTCTCAGGCTTAAGTCCAGCAAATCCTGGAGAGGGTCTCAGAATATTGTCTGTGAGCCGCCTGCTTGAGAAATGCCTGGATGTCCCTTAAAAAGGCAGGGCCACGGGCCCACGTCCACCTACCGCCTCCCCCTGCGGCGGCCAGGCCCAGGACCCTGCATTTTAATCAACCTCCGAGCATTACAGCCCCACAGAGCATGGAGGGAATGACAGACCAAAGCCAAGGCCACGTGCTGTTTTGGCATCTGAAGGCCATCAGTGGGTTTGAGTCATGCTGTGACAGGACGGGGTCCCTGGAACCCTGAGAAAGCCCCACTCCCGGAACCTGGACACACACGAGCTCCCAGGGGACAGGCGGTTGTGGGTGCAGGCCCTCTGCAAGGTGGCCTGCTCACTAGGAGCCCTGCGGGCGACGGCCCACGGGGTGCAGGCACCCTGCAGTTCCCCTCCCCCGGGCGGTTGCACCTGCACAAACACCATGAGACACGCTCCACACGGCCAGTCCCATTTCATAAACCCAGGCTGGTCCTGGCCCCCACACAGTCGGGTCTGCTGTCCCGGGACCTCGCGCTGCCTCGTCCCCACACAGCCGCTTCTGAAACGCAGGACAACGGCTGCTCCAGTGAGCCAACGCCTCTGCCAAGCGGCGAGCGAGGGTCCTAAGGAGCCACACCGCCAATGACGACACAGGAAAGCACCTCGTAAGCAGCCGCGTCACCCGACACACGGCTTTAACCTCTATGTTTCACGATGCTGGATACGATGTGCTTGAAGTAATTATATGGCAACCACCACCCCAAACTCCAAATCTCAGTTTTACGTAACTACACACTGTCGGGGGAGCCACACTTGTCCCCCGCCCGCAGGGGACTGAGCGGAGGCCCTGGACCAAAGGCTGGCTGGGCTCTGGGCTGCGTGGGGAGCTGCTTCTACTTCTCAGACAGACAGTTCTTCACGGGACGCAACGCATTTAAATGTCACTCGGTCGGAGTCCGACAGCCATGCTGTCCTGGAGACGGGCCGGAGAACGGAAAAGCTGTGAGCAGGACAACTACAGAGGAAATAAAACCGAAGTCATAGAAACGAGTCACAAAGGGGGCTGGGGGCGCTGAAAAGGGAAGGGGGCCGGGAAGCACAAATCTAAAATTAATGCTGACTTAGTTCATGCACCAGCTGAAGGACGTGGAGCGGGGCCTCTCCGTGGACTCGGTGACCACACACGCCACCCAGCAGTCTCAGATGCACCTCGAAACGAAGCACGGAAAGGTCATCCCCGGTGCGTGCGGCCCGGCCCTGGCTCAGGGCTGCACTGGGCCTCGCCCCCGGGCGACCTGCCCACCAACCTCCTCAAACCTCTAAGCGTCATTCACCAGAAGTCACTTCGGAGCCTGAGCCGGTTACTCAAGGCCCTAAATAACCACATGCCAATAATTCCTTGGTAACAAATGGGAAGCTGGCTCCTACAAACTGCAAGTCACATGCCTCAGCGCCCTGGGCTGGCAAGCCAGAGCTGTCACTTCATACTAGTCACATCACGTCATTGCCCCCGCCCCACGCCCAGGGTAAACACGCTTTCCATGTGACTGCTCCAGAGAGGCCATTGTAACCGGTTCAGAGAAGTCAGCAGAAAGACCAGAATCGCAGAGGGCGGGGCCAAAAGCAGCTTCTCTGGAAAGTTCTTTAAAATGCACGAGAGTACAGTGTTTCTCTAGAAAAAAAAAGTATCATTTCCTCCTTATTGGTAACAAGTTTTTCTTCTATCAGGCCAATGTTTCAAATCCTCAATTCATCCCTGAAGAATGAGCATGACCTTTGAGAAGGCATCTCCCTGGGGACACACGGGCTGGCAGAACTGACACCCGGACCCTCCGCCGCGGAGCCCTGCGCTCAGCTCCCATAGGCGAGCCCAGGCCCCCACCGATCCGGTCACCTCCCACTCAGAGTGCTTCCTGGAGGCCTGACAGTGGGGACAAGGACGTGAGTGGCTGACCGCATAATACAGATAAGAAGGGCGGCCGACCGCATAATACAGATGAGAAGGGCCAGGAAATGACAAAGGATCTGGCCTGAAGAACAACAGCCCGACGGGCTTCACGCCCCTCCCCACGCGGCCAGCGCCCCGGGGACGGCGGCCAGCACCTGGCACACAGCACTGACTTTTCCCTTCTACTTGCGTGTTAACAAGATGTCATTCACACACTAGAGAGCCCACCCTCTGCAGCGCACGCCCGGTGCTTCTCGGGCTATTCAGTCATGTAAGCATCGCCTCCATCCACACGGACCGTCACCGCCACCCACACCAACGAGACACCAGGTGCCCTGTGCGGCGGCTCCCCGTTCCCCCACCGAGACTGGCCCACAGATCATCCGTATGGCCTATTCTGGAGAGCTGGTGTCGGCAGGAACGCACCCTGTGGCCTTCGGCGCTGGCATCTTGCTCAGTGCCCTCTGCACCGCCGTGTGGCCTTCGGCGCTGGCATCTTGCTCAGTGCCCTGTGTCACACTCCTCCACACCACCGTGTGCCTCGCGTCCCGCCTTCCCACGGCTAGGTGCCCGTCATGACACGGGTCCACCGCTTTGCCTCATCCACACGTCAGCTGACGGACACCTCCTTCACTGTCAACTTAAAAACACTATGAGCCTACGGCCACGCCACCCTGAACAAGCCCGATCCTGTCTGACCTCGGAAGCTAAGCAGGGTTGGGCCTGGTGAGTACTTGGATGGGAGACCACTTAGGAAGACCAGGTGCTGTAAGCGTAAAAAATAAAACATAAGGGATTGTAAGCTGACAAGGTCCTTGCAATCTGTGAGGTCAACCAAGGGCTGCCTCGCCTTAAAAAAACAACAAACAAAAAAACACTTTGAACTGACAGAGAGATTGGAAGACTAGCGAGAAGGACACTTCTATCACCCTCTCAGGTCCTTGGCACTTTTCCATAAAAAGAAACGCTCTCTTAGGCTGCCCTATTTACAAATAAGTTGCAGCAGCATCATATTTTGCTCCAAAGATTTCATCACGAATCTCCTAAAAATAAGACCATTTTCTACGTGGCCATGACACCATCATCACACTGGAAAAACCTAACGTCAACACAACTGTATCTCATAAGTCGACAATCGAATTATCCCAACTGTCCCCCAAAGAGTGCCTTAAAAAAATCCGGGATCTGATCACAGGGGACACACTGCATCCGGCTGTCAAGCCGAACCTTCTGGAATGTGGGGTGGTCCCGTTTCTCATGCTAGCGTCACACTGGAAGAGATGAGGCCAGCTGTCTTGCAGAAAAAAACATTTCTTTTTAATGCCTACACTTAATTACGCATCAAAACAGAGCATATGGTCATGCATTCTAGATAACCTCTACCGGACCAATTGTTCTTTTGAGAATTTCCATGAGTTTCTCGTCTGTCGTCTACTGGAAAGCACAAATGTTTAAGTCAGACTGCCTAGGTCCAAACCCAGCTCCCCAGTGGCTTGCTGTGTGGCCCTGGGAGGGTCAAACCCTCTAAGCCTGTTTCTCATAAAACAGGGACAGTTACAGTATATACATTGTCGGGAGGCTTAGCGGGCTCTGTCAGCACAGCGGGGGGCAGGAGACAAACACTGTTTCATGCCTGTCACGTGGCTGGCCTTTAGAGATGCAGACCAGCTGTGCCTCCTGCTGTGCCCCCAGCTATACCCCAGCTGTGCCCGTGAGTGATGGCACCCCAAGGCCAAAGCCACGAGGCCGGCCTTGAGACCCAACTCTGTGCTGGCTGCATTCTCACAGAATGCACGTGTCCAGCTCGTCCTGGTGCAACAGGTGAAGCACAGATTAAGAAATCGGAGCTGGAATCGGCCCCTGGCTTGACCGCTCACGACCGACAGGACGACGGCAAGTCTCTGTGCCTGTTTCTCCATCTCGAGAATGGGTGTGACAAGATTCGTGTGAGGTTCAAACGAGGTCAAGTGTGACGCGCACGTTCCATGGTGCAGAGAATGAAGAATTTGGTACGCTAGACAACTGTTATTCCAACGTCATTACAAGGTGTCACCTTACTGTAACGGGTAGTGTCACACAGGTATGGTTAAACCTCAGCTCAAAGGGCAGGGTCGCGTACTGGTTGTGTCACTTTGAGCAAATGATGTACTTTTTCAAGCCTCTACCTCCTCGGTCCCGGCAGAGGGCAGGCGGCGGGCAAAGTGCTCAGCAGAGGGCCTTGTGTTGTCAGCCCCCAGCACGTGTCTGTAACCATAATGGTACCTAGCATGAAAACCAAGGCATCATCCTCCCTGTGACCATCAGCAACTCCTACCCACGCTACCTGCATAACTTACCCCAAATCCACCTGCTTCACGGCACATCCGCCTCCGCTCCCGTCCAAGCCTCTCTCTCTCATCTGGCTGGGGTCACAGGCTCCTACCTGGTATCCTGCCATCACGTCCCATACAGCCTAGTCCCTCACCAGATGTGCGTAAACTTTTTCTGAAGGGGGTGTAAATATTGTACATTTGGAGAGCTGTCACAAGTCCTCAGTTCTGCTACTATGTTGTGGAAGCAGCCACAGCACAGCCCACGCGTAGACAAGGATGGCAGGGCCACGTCTCAATAAAATGTCATTTATGGAGACTGAAATGTGAATTTCATATAATTTTCACTTGTTGCAAAATATTCATTTTTTTCCCCCCACCATTTAAAAAGCAAAGTCCCGTTTGTATTCTTAGCTCCAAAAACAGGAAGTAGCCCAGATTTGGCCGGCAGGCCGCAGCTGCCAAGCCCGTGGGCTACGGGAGGTTGAATCTTTCACAAGCATAAATCAGATCATATGACTCCCTGCTGAAAATCCATAAAGGCTTCCTACTCTACTCAAAACGGACCTCAAACTCTTTACCAAGCCCGCACAGGACCTGGGTCCTGCCTACCTATCGTTTTTCTTTCCGCTTTAAAAAATATGCGCACTGGACACATAACCTTGTGTGAGTGTACAGGGAACAAGTGGCGATTTGACACATTTACGAACTGCAACGTGATTGCTACTGTAGCCCCAACAGCAAGGTCCCCCTCCCTCTGCTGCCCCAGGGCCTTTGCACTTGCGATGCCCCCGTCCGGAAAGCTGCGGGCCTCCACTCGGACGGCCCCTCTAGGGAAAGGAGGCCCCTCTATTTGCAGCGTCGTCCCTCGCCAACGCCCCCAACCCCGCCATTCATCTGTGTCCCCGCCCCGTGGACCCGTCCCCGGGGCCTACCACAGCCTGTCCTCACTGCTTCCGGCCATCTGCGACCCCCGGCCCCGCCCCCGCGCGCTCACCTGGTCGGCGCCGAAGGGCGTGATGTTGGCCTTGAGCGCGCC